GAGGATATGGTGTTTAAAAAAAACAGCAAAATTTCAAACCAAATCTTTGCTCAAATTATTCAAACTTTGAATACCCAGCCCAGCTGCTGTGGCTTAATGATTGAGCATCAACCCATGAACCAAGAAGTCACCGGTTTGATTCCTGGTCAGGTCACATGCCCAGGCTGCAGGCTTGATCCCCAGTAAGGGGTGTGCAGGAGGCAGCTGATTGATGATTCTATCTCTCTATCCCTCTCCCTTCCTTTTTCTCTAAAATCAATAAAACATAGCTAAAAATATGTATACATATCATCTCATGTCAAAAAGTGAATATTTTATATATATTCCAAAATATATTGTGTGAGAGGCAATTTGTATAGACAGAATATTCATTAGTGTAAACAAGTAGAGTAAGGTTGCCAACTATGTTTAGTTAATTAAACAGTGTGCATGTTCTTTATTCACTTATGTTGTAAAAGTAATATGTTGATAAATATTTAGAGTAACAAGTCAAGATAATTCTAGTGAAACACAGGTAGCGTTAGAAATGGGAAATTGGCTTAATAATGAAGGTGTTACCTACTAGATCTCATCACATTTCCGAATGACAATAAAATCTTTACAAACCATTTCTATTCCTGCCACAGATTGGGTTATGCAAGAATTTCTCATGCTGAACTGAGCGACTCTGAAATTCAGATGGCCAAGTTTAGGATCCCTGATGACCCCATAAATTATAGAGACAACCACAAAGTGGTCACAGACCACAGGGAAGTTCCCAAGAAAATTCATTTCAACCCCAGGTGAGTGAGTCCTTGATGTTGTAGACTACAGATATGAGACACTGCACCCCCTCTAGGGACCTGTTACCTCACAACAAGCTACACATTCTGTTTGGTTCTAGAGGTTCATTCAGGTACGGGAGCTCAAGGTAAAGATGATAAAATCTTGTTGGGGGTTGCAGTTATGGTCCCTGCCTTTTGAGATGGAGAAATGTGTTGTTAGTCCCTCTTCAGGTGAAAAGCTCACATAGGCATCAACGCGACTATGGCCGTCATTAACACCACAGCAATAGCTGACACTGGAGTGTTCTCCAGACCGTGTCCTAAGTGCTTTGCGTTATCTTGATTCATCCCAGTTGGGCTGGTGCTTTTGTTATCCCCACTTGACAGATAAGGGAGCTCAGACTGAGGAACAGGAAGTAACGTCACTGCAGGGCTAGTCAGAGGGAGCTGTGAAGTGCGAAGGAAGCCCCTTAGTGTCATTGGTTGCTGTTGGCTGCATGTTAGACACTCCTGGAGAGCTTGCAAAAACTTCCCAGACCGGCTCATCAGGACTTCCTGGTGGTCGGGGGGTTTGCATTTTAAAATATCTTTCCAGGTTATTCTACTGTGCCGATAGGATGGAGACTATAGAGAGTGTATCATTCATTTCCATCACAGATACTCTGCCATGTGAATTATATTGAGTTTTAAATATATTACCTGAAGTTATCTGACAAATCTCTTTGCAGCAAAAGATGTGATTTGGAATATGTGTTCTTTTCTCCTCCCACGACTGGACAATGAGAAGAAACATCTGCATAAAACCAAACCCAGAACATGTCATGACATTTTAGTACTTAATATTTCTGCTAGTTTTACCAACGAATATCTATAGAAACTTCTCAGACCTCATTTTCTTTGGGGGAAGAAAGAAGACACTTATTCATTTTTTTTCTTCCTTGTCTCTCCTCACAACAAGGAAAAAACTGGACCAGAGTGTAGGCAATGCATGTAAGGAGAGCTATAACCAAGTCTTGATTTGCTTCCATTGCTGTACTTGGTATTTCCCTTTGTAAGTGCAATGTGGTTGTGAGGAGCATGGGCTGGGGTCAAGCTGCCCAGCTCAATTCCTCGTCTTGCCAGTGAACAGTTGCAAAACTGTGGGCAAGCCACCTGGCCTCTCCAAGCCTCATCTCTCTCATCTGCAAAATGGCGGGGGAGGGGGGCGGGGGGCGGATAGCAGTGCCTCCCTCCAACGTTATTTGAGGTTTGAATGAGACATAACCTTTTCAGAATGGTCAGTTCATGGTCAGTGCTCAGTAGCCAGCAGCTGCAATAGCAACAGTAGTATTTGTTGTATTAACAGTTAAGCAAAAGGCATAGAAAGTTTCCTTTTGCTGATTGAGATGACTTCTAAAATGGAAGTTAGAAGATCTGGGAAGTTGAAGTTAAAGATATTCCCATTTCCTTATTCTTCACACCAGGAGTGTGAAGTTCAAATAAAATATTTTTGGCTAAACCGATGTTCGGCTCTCACATCGATGTTTCTTTCTCCCGCTGCCTTCCTCTCTCTCTAAAAATAAAAATATATATATTTTTTAAAAACCACATTTTTGGCTAATCCCAACTGCAGATTGATCCAAAACAACTGTAAAGGGAGCTAGATCCCACTCAGTTTAATTATGAAAATAACAGAAGCATAAGTAAAAGGCCTGCCTTAATTTGAAAATTTATTATCAAATGTACATACCTATGAAGACTTATAAAATAGAAATAGTAAAAGAATACTAACTTCACCAAAAATCCCATTCTTTAATTCAACAAAATATCCATAGAGTCCCATGATGCCAGCACCTGTGAGGCCCTGTGCTAGATGCAGAGGACAGAGTGGGGAGTAAGACCAAGTCTTTGTCCTATAAAGCTTATGTTCTGGTGGGGAGAGAGACAATTCAAGGGTTAACCCTGGTAAAGCTTTTGGATATATTTTTGCTACTTATAATGCATATATATCTATATATTACACAATTACCCCAGCTTGGCAAATGTATGAAACATATATATATGTGTGTATATGTGTATTCATTCTATATATTAAGCTGACTTTTCCATCTAAACAATATATTATGAACTTCCTTCCATAATAAAGTATTCCTCTGAAAATATTTTTAATGATTGCATAATATTCCAGTGCATAGATGGACCAGACGTTAGCTAACCCATATTGTTGTTTTTGCAGATTTTATTTTTTCATTAATATGAAAAATCTCCAAGGGACTTCTTATATTTTTGGGCATAGCATTGGTTACTTACTTAGGACTCAGTTCTAGATGTGGAACAGCAGGGTCAAAGGTTGGACAAAATTTTGATATTTTTTATCATTATTGTTTTGAGATGACAGCGTAAACAGATCTCCCATCTCCTACATTGGGGAGGTTATTTGCTGATGAAGAAAAGGAAGTCAAGGGCTTCATTTTCTCAGGTCTTAGCTTCCTTTGTATTTCATCATACCAGCTAGAGCAGTGGAAACAGAATTTCCGGACGATAGGCCCAGAAATCAGGATTTTAAAAAGATTCCCAGGTGATCCTAATGTGCAGCCAAGGTTGAGAACCACTGAGCTAGAGCCCTATCATTCATTATTTTTCATCAGCAAAGGAAACAGCTGCAGCACGTGAGCATTAGAGGAAGACCTAGAAGTTGCAATTGTACCAGAACAGATTTTATGCATGTGTAATTGTAACATGAACAACATTTCAGATTTCATGATCCCTGTGTTACCAGAGAATTAAACTTCCTTGTCACTCGTGGGAACGAGGCTTTGCAATATCTTTAGAAAATGAATTTTCTAAGATTTTCACAGATGTGGATGAGATGTGGAAGAAGGCTTTATTTGTGTGAAGTTACATTTCTCAAGTTCCAAAGTCCCTGCCCCTTAAGCCAGTCCTGGGAAAGGTGTAGCTGTGGTCCTAGTAGAGTCAAAAGCAAGTGCCCCTTAAGCCAGTCCTGGGAAAGGTGCAGCTGTGGTCCTAGTAGGGTCAAAAGCAAAGTCAGTGTCCAGCGCTTCTGTTCCATGGTGCAGCTGGGTGTAGCTCAGCTCTCAGGCCAGATTAAAGTCCATCAGTCCATTGTGGGTGCCCCACATGGCCATGAGCGTGTGGACACAGGGGAGCACAGCCCTTGCAACGGGAGAGCGCGTTTCTTTGGTAGAAGTTTATATATTGCGGTTTCGCACACTTGCAGTAGCCATGCCTATTCTGCTTGACTCGCTTTCAGGTGTGATTGATGGGCAAGTGCCCTCCCATGTCACTCAGACCTTACTGGGCATGTGCCTACTAGTATTTAAATAACCAGGTTATTTACAATGGCATCACCTTCACCTATAAAATGGACTTTATTAGAGCTGAGGACTAGAGAGAAAAATCTAGATTTATTTTTCAATAAATCGGCCAATAATTCTTAAACAGCTGTGCTTTTGGAGTAATCCATAACCATGGAAAGAGGACTTTGAAGATTAAAGTCCTTCATGCAACTGCCATTCCCAGATGCATGAATCCTTTTTTATTTCTTCATTTGCTGTCTTATAAATTGATCACATCTCTCCAGGTTGTATGATAGATAAGTAAAAACACAGCAGATTATGGTTGAAATTTTATATAAGAGCATACCTTTCTGAATGGTTTTTACATGTCAATTACTTTTTTTTTAGATTTGGATCCTATAAAGAAGGACACAATTATGAGAACAACCATCATTTTCATATGAGTACACCGAAATACTTTTTATGAACTATTTAAAACAAGAATTCACCGACTGAGCAAGTCTAAGGAAAACAAAAATAAATAAATAAAAAGAAAAAAATAGATGAAAGTGGGAAACGACATACATAAAAACCCTCAATTTTGAAAATGTATGGTATCTATACAGTGGGAAATTCTATCAATTTATAAAGTATATTGCTTAATAAAAGTATTTCTCCAAATTGTTTTAGTTATTTTTGATAAAAATAACAATGTGGGGTAATATAAGAAAGTTTTGCTACTAGAGATAAAATCATTATAAGGTCTTACCTTTGTAATGCTTTAAAATAAGAAATTGATTTGTTGACGAGCTGGAAGAACTATTTACAAAAATCAAGCAGTCTTAAATCCCTCTTGGGACTAAGCAGGGAGGAAATGTTTCAATAGTAAGTCTAATTGTTAGAAGAATAGTATGGACAAAAACCTATTGCTGACTCAGCAGTGCCAGCATGCCAATCATCCTCCTCCTCCGACCTGTGGTAGGATCACCTGTCTTTTCTCCCATGCTTATCTCACTCCGTGGCTGTGATGTCTCCAATCAGTCAGGTCACCAGCTCAGGGAGCACACCTCAGCACACAGAGGGGTCCCATGGAGTGATTTCTTCCCTAGAATTAAGCAGGTAGATGATGGGAGAATTCAGCCCCAGAGCATGGTCTCCATAGAAATAGTGATTGGAATGCCCTTCAGGGAGGCACATAACATCATAGACCTGGAATGGGCTCTGAATGTTGTTTTATCTTTGGGGGCAGAGATAAAAATGACAAGAGAGAATTTCCAAAGGGTTTACGTCACAATCCAAGGGCGTTCCTTGGATCTACTTAGTAAACGTGTCATATTGAGCACACAGCCATATGCAAGACATTATGCCCCATGGTGGTTTTGAAAATATGTCCACAAATGATTTGGTACTGCCTTCCTCAGGTGGAACCTAATTTGCCTCACTTTGAGTGTGGGCTAGACTTACTAACTCACTTCTGATGAGAAGAATAAAGTGAAAGAGATGGCATGTGTCTTCCAAGCTTAGGTGATAAAAAGATATTGTGGTCCTGCCTTAGTCTCGCTCTCTTGGGCCTGAGAGAAGCCAGCTGCCGTGTCATGGGCAGCCCTGTGGGAAGAGGTAAGGAACTTGCCAACAGCCATGGGAGTGACCCACCTAAGATGTGGAACTTCCGGCCCAAGTCAAGCTTCAAGTTGTTTTTCAGCCCCACTTGCCATCTTTTTGTGTTTTCTTTGCTTATTTTCTTTTTTCCCCACTTGCCATCTTGATTGTAACTCATGAGAGACCTAAGCCCAACCATCTAGTCAGATAATAACTATTGTCTTAATAACTATGTATTGGGGTAATTTACTATGCATCAGTGCTTAGTAATGAGGCAGTCCTTGAGCCTATTCATGCTTGGGGAACGTGGAGAAGCTGACAACAACATTTACTTAGTGTCTATCATATCCATAGAACTGTGCTAGGCAAGTGGGGGTGGTAGGAAGTGTATCTTAACTGAAAAATCCCTTATCTCTGGGTCCTGATTGCCAAATGTGCCAGCCAGAATACGAAAGACAGCTTGAGTAGTAACTACTGACTATTGACCCTCTCTTGAGCCAAGTGCTTTACGAACATCATCCCCTGACAATATTGCAAAGTTATGTAACCCAGATGCCAGCTGGGGTCTCCTGGCCTTTTGGCTCTGGATAAGAGAGCCAGAACCCCATTCTGCTCCCTCCTAAATTCAGTGTCCTCCCCAAGATTTCTGTGAATTGTGGTAGGTTAAGGGGCAAGGTTCACATGTTTATGGTTACCTCTCACTGTCCTCTTCCCACTGTCATATTTCAGTTCAGAGATGGTCCCACTCTTGAATTTCTAAATAGGATTATGCTACGATGCAAGGTTAATGCAAGGAGAGGATGCATTTAATGCACCTAGAAGTCCCTGGCACTCAGCAGGTGCTCAATATTTCCCAAAGTTCTGGGGAAGCAGGTCTACACGCAGACAGCAAGCACTATGTCTGTGCTGTGCCAAGCAAACATAGAACTGGGTTATTTACTTGAATTCCTCCAAAGTAAAATAAAGCACTCACACCATGTGTTTCAGTGGACAGCATACTTTACTGAACATCTAGAAAGAGAGAGAGGGGGTTTACATTATAGAAACTCAAACATCTTCAGGTAGAATAATTATATATTCTTTGTTTTAAAAAATCTTTTGTCTCCTCCACATCATGTGCTTTAGAGATTTCCTTCTTATCTCCTCTGGCTTTCTGCATCTCCCCAAATTTCTGTTAATTTCTAGTGCAGACGGTTACAATTCATTAGTAGGGTGCTGTTCTCAGAATGTCCACTAGAGGACACGAGTGCAACTCCTCCCTTACCAGTGTGCTATTCTGATAATGTCCACAAGTAAATTAGATTAACTATCTTTTTTTTTCTTCTCAGCCTCTTTCTTATTCATCGAGTTCTGTGGACCTCAATGGACCATATAATGCCCATCTATATTAAGGAGGGCAATCTACTTACTGAGTCTATGGATTCAAACACTACTTTCATCTGGACACATCCTAATAGATACACCCAGAAATAATGTTTAATTTGTGCAACCTGTGGCCAGTCAGGTTGAGACATAAAATGCACCATCACAAACACTGAAATCACCTGGGGACTTGTTAAAACTGTGGCATCTCAGGTGTTACCTCAGTTCTACTACATTAGAATTTGCACTTTAACAAGATTCACACACAGGTGATGTCAGTTTGAGAGGCCCTGATCTTGGTGGATAAAAAGTCTCTAGCTCTGAACGGTGAGAGTAAGGTGATTCTGGCTGTCACTAGATACCTGGAAAAATCCTATATAATAAAGAGGTAATATGCAAATTAACCCTTATGCCTACACAAGATGGCAGCCTATGACCAGGCCAGCAGAGGGCTTAGTGAGGAACGACCAAATGACTGAACAAGCAGGCTGCATGGGGTGACCAGGCCAGCAGGGGTTTAGTGGGGGACGACCAAACTACTGAACAAGCAGGCTGCATGGGGCAACCCGGCTGGTATGGGGGCCGTGAGGGGTGACCTGGCCAGCAGCGGGGGGTAGTTAGGGGTGACCAGGCCAGCAGGGAGGGGGCAGTTGGGGGCAACCTGGCCTGCAGGGGAGGGAAGTTAGGGGTGACCAGGCAGGCAGGCAGGTGAGCAATTAGGAGCCAGCAGTCCAGGATTGTGAGAGGGTGCAGGCTGGGCTGAGGGGACCACCCCCCCATGCATGAATTTCGTGCACCAGGCCTCTAGTCTATAATAATAAAAGAGTAATATGCTAATTAGACCGAACATCCTTCCAGACAAAGCCAGAGCTGCGAGGGAAGCCTGGGTCCCTGCTGGCAGCTGGAGGGAAGCCTGGGTCCTGGGTGCCAGAGGGAAGCCGGTCTCAGCAGCTGGGGGAAGGAAGGCCTACTTTTGCACGAATTTTGTCCATCAGGCCTCTAGTAAGTAAATAAAATAAAATAATACAACTGACATTCCTTCTTGGAGGAAGATAATAGATCTCAAATTATTTCTACAAATAATTTTTTTATACACAATGTCCAGTACACAATCAAAAATTACTGAGCACACAAGTAATAAGACACCATAAGCCATGATCAGCAAAAACAACAGACAAGGGAAACAGGCTTCAGGTGTGAGGTTCATTAGCTACAGACTTTTTAAAAAGCTTCTTTTGTTCAAGGATGTAAAAGTCAAGCATGAACATTCTGTCAGGTAAGTAAAACTATAAAAATAATGACAGCAGATTTGAAAAAAACGAAAAACTCTAGAATTCTCAAAAATTCTGTAACTGAAAGTAAGAATTCAGTAAAAGCATTTAGCATCAGATTAGACAAATAGCAGAAGAATGGGAAGATAGGTCAGGAGAAACTCAGTTGTAGAGATGGAAGGCTTCCTGGAAACAGGAATAAGGGGAAAATTCAAATGCATCTTTTAAATATTTGCAAAGGCACTATCCTTGTAGCAGAGATATAAACACATTTAACAATCTCGTTATGCCATCATACAGTAGTGTGCTTTGTGACAGTCAAGGTATACACCTTTTACTAGTTTTAACAGAAAGCACCTGGAGCCCTGGCATTATGTAAACCATTTAACCTGATGACTGTTCTTCCAGTGCAAGCCTAGCAATTCATAGCTCCTCTAACCTTCCCAGCCTCGCACACCCTGGCTGTTCCCACTCCTGAGGTAAAATAAAAGCCATGATGTTTTGGGTGGGGTGAGGGTGTGGCTGACCACAGTGTTGCTGATTGCTGGGCCTTTCAGAGCAGACTCATTGGACTGCCTTAAAGGAGGAGGCTAAAGTCTGTGGTAAATTGTTGGGAAGGGTAGATTACCATTCTGGGAACAGGGCACTGCAGGGGGGGCTTTGACAATGTAGCTGACCTTGAAATGATTAGTAAACTGGTATATTATGTCAACCCAGAAAAATACAATATACTCTTAGCTTGCCTTATTTTTAAGCTTTTTTGGGGAAATCTATAGATTAGAAATTAAATCAATTCTATGGAAACGTGAGGTTCTTGTTAGTGACAATAACACCAGAGTGTATATGCCATAATCCCATCCAGGATAATTGGGAATTCTGGGGGCCTCAATCCCCTTCAGTTCCAGCTTATGCTGCAGAGAAGGACTGTACAGATTCCTATGTTTGTGCTGCTTCCTAGAAGAGTAAAACACTATAAACATTTCTCTGTTTTTTTTGTTTTTCGCCATAAAGAAACTTTCCAGCAATATCTTTGTACAATTTTTCTAACATTTCTGGCAGTTTTCCACTTTGATTTCTTTCCTCCTTAAAATATTTAGTTAGTCAGCAAAATGTTGAATACAATTTTTCTTTTCTCTCTTTTCCCACATTCCTTTTAAATTTAAGAGAAGTTGTTTGTTTGTTGAGTATGCTCAGGGGGACAGGTATGATGGACTGAGTCTGTGCGCCTCCTCAAAGCCATATGTTGAAATTCTAACAAGTAATGTAGGAGCAGATGGAGCCTTTGAGAGAGGTGATCAGGTCATGAGGATGGGGCTGCCATGAACAGGATTAGTGGCCTCATAAGAAGAGTTGCAAGAACTTTCTCTCTGTTTCTGCTCTCCATCACGTGCAGATGCAAGGAAGACAGCCGTCTGCAAACCAGACACTGGATCTCTTGGCACCTTGATTTTGCACGCCCAGTCTCCAGAACTGTGAGAAAGGTCTGTTGGGTAAGCCCCCGTCTATGGTGATTTGTTATAGCAGCCCAACTGACTAAGTGAACTGGTTACTAAGATAACCCAGTGACTCCAAACTTGGGGCGTGGGGTGGTCTGTGGATTGGGGAAGACAGAGTCCTCTGGGGGTAAATGGAAACATCCAAATCTCTCCCCCTGCTTTACAGTGGACAAACTCTTAGCAGAGATTATTATTTCAAAATACTCTAAGGTGAATAAAGTCATAGGGGAAAAAAAAAGAAATCATGGCTCCAAATTCCTTAAGGAAATAAAGCCCAATGGTATATTCTTTTCTCAGCTGTTGTTTGCGCTGTATCCCTGACTCACAAAGCTCTGGCTCTCATCAAAGGCCAAGAAGCCATATGTATTTCTTTTCATCTCCACTGTTGTCACCTGTTGGCAATTGACTTTGCTTCCCTAAACAGTAATAGCAAATATCACAAAAGTTAGTAATTGTAAACTGTGGTCAGAGCCTATATTCCTTCCTTTATATAATATGGCCAAACATACTGCTTTGTAGTCTACAAATTATTTTCCACCTATAATTTCTTTTTGATTCTCACAATTATCTTTTTATCTAATGTTCAGATGATCTATTATCTATCCTATATAATAAGAGAGGCATATGGTAATTAGTCACAACTGGATATGCTAATTAGTCATCACTAGTATGCAAATTGACCATTACTCAAACACACAAGATGACCACCCCCATGTGGCCACAAGATGGCTGGCAGGGGAGGGTAGTTTGGGGGGGGACCAGGCCTGCAGGGGAGGGCAGTTTGGGGGCGACCAGGCTGGCAGGGGAGGGCAGTTGGGGGGGGCTCCTCAGGAGAGGACCGTTTGGGGGCAATCAGACTGGCAGGGGAGCAGTTAGGTGTCAGTCAGGCTGGCAGGGGAGGGGGTAGGGGGTGATCAGGCTGGCAGGCAGCTGCTGGGGTGCCTGACCAGCCTGCGTGAGGGGGT